ATTTATGTGCAACATTTATGTGCTAGGACAAAATCACAGCCTCAGAAACTGTGGGGAACCCAAAAACTTAGACCATCATCCTTGGCTTCACTTGGGATTGCCCAACTTGTCATTTTTACCTCTGAAGTCACACAGACTAACGTTGGTTTCAATAAATATATATATACATACTCTCTTTTGCCACATCCAATACAAAAGCCGTAGACCACAAACTCTTCTTAGAATTAGGGAAAACACAATTGCTAATCTGATGTAGTTTTCCTCATCTTGTATAGTTTATTAGGAGCATGCCTAATAATTGTAGAGGGACTTGGCTAGTGGCACTCCCATTGGCCTTGTGAGCATAAACCCTAGGTTGCATTTAAGTTCTTTGATATAGGGTCTCCCCTGGTGGCACAGGCTGTTGAGCACAGCACTGTGAAGCTGTCCGCAGCGTCTGCAGCGCTGGTTCGATCCCTGCCGACTGACGAGGGTCCCACATGGTGCAGCGGACCTCTCCTGTCTCGCCTGCTGCTCCCCTCAGCAGTGTATTTCATCAGTCTGCCTGTTCTGTACCCCGGTTCTTATATAAATAAATAAATCTTTAAAAAAGTTCTTTGATATTTATGTATATATTAGTTGCCTATTGCCTACATGTCAAGAGATTCCAAAACTTAACAGCTTAAAATGATAGTAAACATTTATTATCTCACATATTGAATAGTTTCTGTAGATGAGGTCAGGATGTCTTTTGAGGTTATAGTGAAAATGTCAGCCAGGGCTGAAGCATCTGAAGGCTTGCCTGGAGCTATAGTATCTACTTCCAGAATGGCTCGTTCATGTGATGAGTAAATCCATGCTGGCTGTATGTAGGAGGTCTCAGCCCCTTGTGATGTGGTCCTTTCGATAGGGCTTCTTGAAAGTCTCTCCTGGCAGCTGATGCCCTCTAGACCAAGTAATCCAAGGAGGAGGACAAGGTAGAAGCTACAGTTTCTACTATGGCATATCCTTGGCCATCACCCACCATAATTTCTGTAGTATCCTAGTTGTTACACGGGTCAGTCTCATCACCAGGGGAAAGGACTGTATAGGACATGGACATTTAGAGGCGTAGCTCAGTGAGGCCATCTTGAAAGATAAATCATACCACAATGTATATATACAGTCTTACACTTTCTTCCCTAAAGCTGATTATTCTCTCCATTGTCCCTCAGGTCCATCCATGGTTGGTTGGTTGGTTGGTTGATTGGGTGTTGATCTGTGGCAAGAAAGGTAGTAAGTAGGCATTGGTTTCTAGGGGGCTTTGAAGTTAGTGAATTATCAGCTTTATAGTTTCTTCCAGAAACACTTGTATCTCTGTATACTCCATACAGATTGTTTGAAAATTAGAAAATAAAGTAACTTATTTTAACCATTCTTGTAAATTTACTGATCTATTTTAATTTAATAACCCTTTTAGATAATAAAAATACATTTTTAGCTATCGAAGTAGATTGTATAGGACGTGAATGCAAGTCCCCTTAAGCTTTTTTTCTCCCTTTGCTAGGAAATCTTTTTTGCTGTCCTCTCATGCCCATAGAAATCTTTATTCTCTTCTTTGTTCTGTTTGTGCCCAACTCTCCCAATAGACCTTGGGCACATTACTGATTAATCTCTTTGTGCCTCCATTTTCCCATTTGCAAATGGGGATAATCCCCCGTTTCTTGGGGATTGAACATTTTTATTATATATGGCCGATACTTAGAGTAAATCATGTAAAATAAATTTACACAGCTGGGAGTGGAAACAAAATAAACATGTACCAAAAAGAATTTAAGAAATCTGAGGCAAACAGCAGGGGAGGGAAAGAGAGAGGGGTCAAAACAGGGAAAGGGAAGAGCACGAGGGACTGTGGTGATGGTTCACGGGTACAGTGGTGGTAGGAGAATTGTGGGGACTACACCTGAAGGGAGAGATAAAATACTATCCAAAAATTAACAAAGGTGTAAGAAAATAAATTTTTTAAAAAGAATTTAAGAAATAGTGTTTTGTTCAGTTAGTAAGGCAATTAGTCTGTTGCGGTTACTGTCGAGTTTACAGAACTTCACATTTGGTGTGCTTTTCTCCTCCCTGTATTCTTTGCCTCTGAAAAACAGAAAACTCTTATTCTCACCAAGACATGAATGATTTGATTTTAAGTGGAGTTTATTGCTCTACTTAGAAGTTTTTTATTTTGTTTTATTGAATAAGTACATATAGGCTAAGGTAAAAATGTATCAGGCTTTTCTGCCCTCCCGCCATTAGGATTGATGATAGAACCCTGTGGTTCTGAATGCATGCCTGATGGCGGGCACCTGGAGTAGGTTGTGGGCAGATGTAAGTGGGTACACCTGGGCTGAGAGACTGGGCTTACAAGGGCGGTGTCACGGAGATGCCAACAGAGAGCGGAACAGCAGAAGCAGAAGAAAGAGAACAAGGCCACGAGAGAACTCCAGAGAGCCCAGAGAGAGTGAAGAGTGCCAGCCTCCTGGCCCCCGGCACCCTTGCCTTCCGTGTACCTGATAAATCCCAAATAAAGCCTGCAAAGGCCACCGAAAGCTCTAGGACTCCTCCTTTACCCCATCTGCTCTATCAGAGAATGTGCTCCATCCCTTCCTGCCATTACAGTGCAGTACTGTGACTTTAGGTATCAAGGATATTTATAATCAAAATAGCTTAAGATTTTACTTATCAAGTGACTTGGAAGTATTTCTAAGAAGAAAAAATATTAGATCATTAAATTATAAACCCGAGGAGCATAAGTTTCTTTTCAAACTTTATTATTCAGAAGGTCAGTTTATTTCTGGTCATATGCCTACTTCAAAGGGTTGTGCTATTGTGATATTACAGGCAGCCTTTGAATTCATCCAAGGAAAGGGAAGCTAGTTTTGGGACTGTCCTAAACTCACAGCTAATAAGCAGTAAAAGGACATCTGCAGACTAGCATTTTACCAAAGAGCAAATTGTCATAAACAGACAGGCAGCCATGAAGATGAACTGTGTTGGGCGTTGGCTGGTGTAACATATAGCTGCCATGGTCAGACCTGCAAACAGTGCAGGTATGTGTGCTGATGCGATGGACAAGCAAGAACTTCCCAATGATTGGTGAAATCTCTTAAGTCCTGGGGAAGACCAGAATGCAGTGATTTTGCCTGTCGTCTTCACATGCCTAGAAGTGAGAGAGAATTGCTCTTTGATAATGACCGTGCATAGATTCTGAGTGTCATCCAAAGCCCGGGAAATGCTACAGTAAGCATGGATCTCTGAGGAACAGTGTAATCCTGAAGAGCTCCTTCTGTGCTTTCTCAGAACTGTCTTTTCTAAAGCAACCTGTGTCTAAATTACGGAAATGAATGTTTCTTCCTAAGAAAGGCTTACAAACTTGGGGTCCACCTAGGAACTATGTTAGGTTATTAATGATGCATGGAACTTGGATGATTATTGAGAATAAAACTCCCACTAACCAGAACTTATCCAGAAGTCATGAATAAGGCAGTAAACATAGTTAATTACTGATTATTGGAAAAGGCTGTTTATCTTCCTTTGGAGAATAGATTCAGTGTATCATATGCCTTCTCCTGCCAGTTGTCCATGTGCTCTGCCAACAAGTGACTATTACTCATCATAGGCAATGCAAATTAATACATGGACCCTGATGCCATATTGTCTGCACTTACTACATGAAAACAGGCTTAGAACAGCTACCGGTGTTTTGAAGGAAATTAAACATAATTATTCAAATTAAGACACATATAAATTATTTTTTCTACCAGAGGCCAAGCTGATGATAAGTAGATTGTTTTGAAGGCAGGATGATCAAAAAATTTAGAAACGAAGTATAGTTTTTGTAGAGTGGTTATAGAATGAAAAATTGAACATGTAATCCATAAATACTTTCTGTGTATCCTTGGGGGTCTTTGTTTCTCACTCTAATTTAAAAATTAAAAGATGCTGCGGGCCAAATGTTGTGTTGAGCAGTGACATTGTTTTATCTACTTATAATAGGATATAGGAGTGCTTGTCTCTAGAGAAATAGAACTTCTGGGTCTGTTTTTTTGATGTCACCTGCCCTAATGGCCAAGGGTAATGTGGCTTCCTGGTGATGATTCTTGGAAGTTGCTCATCCCAATCAAGCTACCTCTCTTCTTTACCAGAGTTTAGCATGCAGTGTTTCAAAGAAAAATTATCCTGCAGTTTATTTCCAGTCATGTGTGAGGACAAGGAGGCAACTAGTCAGCCATACAAACAGCAGTCTGTTAACTACCAGAGATGAAGAGCCAATCTGAATACAATTAAATGTCTGCTTAAATATTAATAGATGTTATAAAATAATAATGGCCCTCAAAAATTGGGAAAGAAGTTAAAGTTAGTTGTAAAGTTATACATATTTTCAAATGACTAGAAAAGTCAGTTCAGTACCAAGATGTGACTGCAAAATGCTTTATTGAATTAAATAAGTGAATTGGTACTACAGCAGCTATTTTTTTGCCAGTTGTTTTCCATTTCTGTGAATAATAGACTGTACTTAAAAGCCATCAGCTGAGTATTATTTGCACATAGTGTTTCTGCCTGTTAAAACTGATGACCCATATACTTCCAATTCTGTACCCACTCACCCACTTAAGCAGACGGCATATTAGAACAGGGTTCAAAATTTTTAACAAGTTTTCCCAGCTGTACACTCTTCATTTATTTTCAAGTAGACTAAACTCCAACTGAGTACTCATGTACAACTGAGTGTTCACGAAAAGTCTTTGGCTCCCTGCCTCTGTAACTTGAATTCAAAGATACTGTCTTCCCCGCACCAAGAACAAGCCAAGGCACTGACTTAGCTATAAGCAGAATTAAATTCAGATCTCATAGTATTGGCAATATTTCAGAAAACACCTCAAATACATCCTGGAAGCCCGCACAGTTCACAGTCTGCAGTCGAGGCAGTGTGCTTTTCTCTTTGCAGTATTATAGCGTTGCTCATGCTCTCTCTTGGGACCTTTGATTTACAGATGCTAATGCCGGAGACCGTGGACAGACCAATAATGCCGCTTCTGCATCAGCTTCCAACTCCACCTGAACAGTCCCAAGCAGCCAGCTGCACAGGAAAAACCACCAGTTACTTGAGTGTCACTCAGCAACACTGGTCACGTTTGGAAAGAAAATTAAAAAAGAGACAAAGAAACCTATTCATTTTAGTGTTCAATTTTTTTATTATTGTTGTTGTTCTTATTTAACCTTGTAAAATATCTATAAATACAAACCAATTTCATTGTATTCTCACTTTGAGGGAGATCCAGAGGGTGGGGTGGGGTTCTGGGGGTGGGGGGCGGGAAGCGGAGCACTAGAACACACAATCTCTCTCCCACGACAATCCTTTTTTATCAGAAATCTGCTGTTGTATACTTTAGAAACAGGACTCCTGCCTCATGCCCCTTCTACAAAAGGAGAAAACTTTGTTCTGTGCTGAAGTTTTTTTGAACTTTGTTTTCTTTTACAGTCAAGTGTAAGACTTCAGTATAGTGCACAGCTTGAAATTGGTCGGGAGCTTTGAAGGTGTAACTCTTGTAAATGGGGACTTAAATTGTCACTTGTAAAATTAATCCATATCCTCGGGTATTTGAAGACTTGCCTTTGGCATGTTGGTGGCAGGTGTGGCAGACAAAAAAGGAAATGTAAACCCAGGGTGGTCCATAAATTTTGAAACTATAAGGGGAAGATTGTTAATTGATTGAAGGTTTTGTATTGTTCTTAAAGAGTGCTGGTGGTGAAGAAACTTCTGTAGGCGGCTATCAGAAGAGGAGCCTGCATGCTCTGCAGGTGGATCTTTGCCTGACCAAAGGTTCTCTGTTAGTGCAGTTTTAAACTAGTGACCTAGGAGAAAACTGAAAAGGGCGATGAGCTGGCCACTCTGGCTGCAGAGATCAAAAGCTGATGAGCCTGGAGGAAGGGGACAGGCCAGGAGCAGATCTCACCACTGTGAATGAATTTGTCCAGATTTTTTCTAAAAGTACTTCCCTTGGAAAGATACACTTGAGAGGACATTATAGTTAAATAAATAATGTGAACTGTAACAGTCTACTGGTTTATTTTTCATATTTTTAATTGCAAATTGAGCTTGCAGAAATTGCCACATTCTGCACATAGTTCTAATTTTAAATCCAAATCTAGAATCTATTTAATTTTAGCTTTTCTTAATAACCTCATGCTTTTTAAATTTTATTTATTGATGCATGTCAGATAGACCATTACGAATATTTTAGATGGTAGGAATATTAAAAACTACACATCAAAATTATATAAACAGTCACTTGTACCTGCTGACATTGTAGGAAAGCTGATTATATAAATGTATGTATATATGTTATATATACATAGACTCAATACTGCCTTTGTGTGTGTGTGTGTCCACAGTATCAAAATTGGCTGGTTGAAGCATGAGAAGAAGAATGTCGTGTCCTCCCCTTTCGTCCTGCCCCTCTTCCCTGAGTAGTTTTAATTTCTGTTTTCTTTGTGTATCAGTGAATGGTGTCAGAATCAGTCTTTGTGTTTGACGAAAAAGCAATATTCCTTGGAAAGCAAGGAGGATTGAAGGATTATGTTTGCAGTGAGGAAAGAGATTTTCACAACTAGTTTGTTTTATACTTTTAAGGTTGACATCTATGTGGGCCTTATATACTCTAAAATGAACCTTAGTCACCTTGGTGCTTATGGGCCATTACTTGACCTATGAATTTTTAAGGCACAAATCAGTTGTATTTTACATGTAAAGATCACTCGTGATGGCCGCCTTTCCCTCCTACCCGCTCCCTCCTCACAGACCTTCCGAAGTTAGTTGAAGTTAGCTGAAAACCATCGGGCTGCAGAGAAAAGCCCTTGATTGTGTGTGACTTCCCTTCACCCTCCTCATTGCCAACTATGGTCTCCTTAGGGGTCTCTCCCTCCCAGGCATTTGGGTTCAAGTCTCTTGACCCTCACCAAGCTCCCAGCACCCTGTCCTCCTCCTTATCCAAGTGTGTGTGACTCCAAGAGAGTTACTGCCTGCTGAAGTGAACCAATACCCAGAAAGGCAACTGTGAGCCATCTTAGTTTCACTCACTGTTTAGCTGAGCGCTTAGGCCACCAGAGGGGTTTCTCAAACCTCTGCTCTTACCAGAATTCATGAGAAAGAAAACACTCAGTCAAACCAACTCAAATTGAATTTTACTTTTCATAATGAGCTGAGAGCTAATTAAGATTTGAAAGAAGTGTGAAATCAGAGTATTCAGCAGCATAATTCCTAAAGGGAATGTTTCAGTTTTGATAGACCATTTTCAAAAAGACTTTGTAAAGACGGTGAACCAGCAGGTCTGTGACAGACGTGGACCTGCTTTCATACCCAACTGCCCAGCCAAACATTTGCACACAAGACACTACTCTGGACTTGGTATACTTACTAGAGTCCATAAATATCTGTGCTTGTTTAGGAAACACCTCCCCCATCCCACCCCCACAAATGAAGAGCAAAGTGGGATGCTTTTCTTTCATTTGTGTGTGTGTGTGTGTGTGTGTGTGTGTGTGTGTGTACGCGCGCGTGAGCGCTGAGGTGCATGATTTTTCTTTCTCAAGGATCATGGCGGAATCACAGAACTCTTTTATACAAGTGAGATCCAGGTCTCTGAATATCTTTTTGTAAATAATAATAATAATAATAAAAAGCTCCTCACCAAATTCAAGCTTGTACATTATATTTTCTTTCAGTGTTTTTAAATTTAAGTTTTATTGTTTTGTATGTAAATATGTGGACCCAGGAACTGTTATTAATGAGCAAAAAGTTACTGTTCAGGGCAGTGATTCTGTTTAATAATCAGACAAAATGTAGACGAGCTTTTTAAAGCCATATAGTTTTAACTCTGTACAGTAGGTACCGGCCTGTATTATTGTAACAATAACTCTAGCAATGTATAGTGTATCTATAGTTTGGAGTGCCTTCGCTTCCATGTGTTTGCTTTTGGTTTTCTTTCTTTTTTTTCTTTTTTTTTTTTTTAATTTAATTGGTTTCTAGCCACGTCTCCTTGTCCCACCCTGGTCCCTTTGAAATAATAGTTCACTCATAACACAGTGTCCTAGCCCCTTCCACACTTAAGCTTCAGTGACACGGTGCTTAGGAGTGGAAAGAGGAAAGAAACCATGTTCATAATCTCATTTCATTCAAGCGCTGCCTTTGTTTTGGTTGTGAACATCTGTTTCCTTCTCAGTAGCAGTGACCGGTTTCATTTCATAGTTAGTCCATCCAGGGACCTAGTATAGTGCCGGGGGGCCCTAGAGCTGGAGGATATCAATCAACTAGATAAGATTTTGCTCGTCTCTTCCCCAAACCTTAACCTTGGGTCTTAAAAACAGCAGATCCCAGGACCCTTCCATACTCTCTCCTCTTGCCTATTTTGCTCCCAAATTAGAGCGAGAGAGAATTGGTTTGTAAAGTCAATTTCTTAATAGTATCAAGTTTTTTCATATGTCAGTGGTCTGAAATGCTACAGTGCAGTTCTAGCAGTTACTGCGTGGAGCGAGGCTGTGCCGGAGGACTTGTTTTAACAAGGGCACTCTGCTAGCCTGTTCTCTCCCTCCCACCGCCACCTCTGCCCCCCTTCAATAAATGTCATTTTAATTTCTTTTTTTAAAAAATCAGTTTAATTCTTACTGCGTGCCCATCCTGAAGGCCTTTATTTGAAAGAAGAAAAATCGAAATTATTTGCCTCCAAGTACTCCATTTGAGATGTCTTGAGTAGGAAAAACAAACTTTACCAAACCAAAGGTTGCTACTTTTGAAACATCTTGTGTTCGTTACAGTTAAGGGAGAAGACAGCACCTTCGTTTCAGTGACATGTCATTTTAAGTCCTTTTAATTTTTAGGCACATTTTTTGGGTTGTGTTTTAACAAAGCCTGCCTAACCAGTCATCTTGTGTGCACCAATGCAAAGGTTTCTGAGAGGACTATTGTATTTTCTGCCCCTGTGTTTATAGACACTGGCCTTTCGTTTCTTTTTCCCTTTCCTTTTCAAAGGATTTAACTTTGGATTTTCCCAAAGGAAGTTTGGTCAATGCCAGATCCCCAGGAGTTTGGGGTTATTTCTTTGTTTTAAGCCAAAATTGTATCTGATTCCTGTTGTTCATGATGTTAGTGATCATCTAATCACAGAGCTGAACACTTTCTCCCCTGGTCTCGAAAAAGAAACTTAGCATGCTTTACAATAAAATCTTTTTCTGGTAGAAACCTGAGCCACTGAAAATAAGAGAGACAGCTAGAAGCACAGTAGAGTCCCAGATTAAGGTCTATGAGAGGCTTTGAAAGTAATCCCTTGGGTTTGGATTATTTTCACAGGGGTTGTGACATTTTATTCAAGTTTGTTGCTCCGTTTTGCACCTCTGCAATAAAAGCAAATGACAACCAGTACATAAGGGGTTAGCTTGACAAAGTAGACTTCCTTGTGTTAACTTTTAAGTTTTTTTTTTTTCCTATATCTGTCTACAGGCAGATACAGATAGATGTATGAAAATGTGCTTGCCTGTAAAATTTGCATTTATAAATGTGTTGCCGATGGATCATTTGGGCCTGTACACATATCAATTAGCGTGACCACTTCCATCTTAAAAACAAACCTAAAAATCAAAATTTATTATTATATATATATATATATATATAAAGGACTGTGGGTTGTATACAAACTATTGCAAACACTTGTGCAAATCTGTCTTGATATAAAGGAAAAGCAAAATCTGTATAACATTATTACTACTTGAATGCCTCTGTGACTGATTTTTTTTTTTTTCATTTTAAATATAAACTTTTGTGAAAAGTATGCTCAGTGTTTCTTTTTTCCCTTTTTCCCCATTCCCTTGTAAATACATTTTGTTCTATGTGACTTGGTTTGGAAATAGTTAACTGGTACTGTAATTTGCATTAAATAAAAAGTAGGTTAGCCTGGAAATGAAATTAAAATTCACAAGTGTGTGGTCTTTATTTCAGTACCCAATCCTCTTTCCTTCACTCTATTTTGCCGCCACAATATGTAGTCACATCACCGTCTCTGTTCCTCCAGTCAGAGAAACATGAATCTTTGTTATAAGAAACAAAATATGAACACTAGTTCTCGTTCTTTCGAATGATCATATTCTTTGTATAGCCCCAAGAGGTGCAGCTTCCATCTTGGAAACCTTTGGACTTGATGTACAGGAAGTTTTTGAGATACTGCTTTGGAAAGAAAACATCCCTCAAAGAGACTAATTTTTAAAACATGTATAAGCTGCTGTCTTTGATTACTGTGTTCATGGTTTGGTGTAGCTGTACTTTCTTTTAACTTTCATCCCATTAGTACTGGTCTTTGGGAGTATCTGTAAAATATATGAACACCACAAACCGTGGGGCTGTACCTCCCAGGTAACCAACACATGTTGTGTTTGAGTCTGCTCATTTCCAATACTGGATGATGTATGTAAACATGTTTGTCTCTTAGTGCAAAAAAAAAAAAAACAACAAAAGACATTTTTTTTAGGACTGGCTCACTGTCAGGCCTACTCTAAAGGCTAGATATAAAGTCATGTGACTGCTGCTTCAATAAAAACAAATTTATATTGGATAAAATCTGGTCCTCTAGTTATTTTTATGGGGGGGGGGGTGGTGGTGTGCGGGTGGTGCCTAATTCCACTAATATTTGTAAAGTAGTTAAGACACATCAGGATGGGAGGGGGTTTTGGCGATGGGGGTTCCACAAAAACATTGAAGATATCACTTGTGGGATGGGCTTCTTGTGGGCATTGTAGAGCATTTGGGATGTACTACTATCTTGTTTACTTCCTGCCTATCTGAATCAGGATTGAGTTAAACCATGTGTTAAATGTCCTATAAAATAAACTATTTAAAATCTTGAAGACTGCATTTAAAATTTTTAAGGTCTTCTAAAAAGTCCTCTTGGTGTCATTTCGGGAGAGCAGAGAGAGTACATGTTAGGTGTTCTAGAAGAGGAGTTAGTGAGGAAAAGGAGGGATTTTGTTGCAGATACATCTCATGGAGAAGTTTGTGAAAGTAAGAGAACAAATTTCTGGAATGGCCACTCATTTCTGAGGAGTAGTACAATTCCACCCACCTATCAGCACAATCAGATTTAGAACTGGGGGTGTCAGGGGACACAGGCTGTGTGGAAGAGGGCATAATGAGGCCCGTAAGTTGTCAGAAACTGGGAGGAGACGCTCATGTATTTTCTCCTTACAGCCTCCTTTCTCCAGAAAGGAGAGGCCATCCACTCTGGGCCTTCCCACAAGAATTGTTAATGTCAAGGCTTTAATTCCATCCCTAAAGTCTGGGCCATGTAGAGCTTGGCTGCTGAGTGACTCTGAATAAAGGGGGTACCAGAAGGTAAACACTAAGGTCTTTCTGCCTGGAGACTAACTCCATCAAGTTAAATTATGTACTTTGAGGTTCTTCTATCAGCAGTCTTCACATGTATAAAGGCTAATAATAAAATTAGTAAAATAAATAGAAATAATACATATTCTATCTATAATATACAATAGTCCACCTCCACATTTCTTTTCTCCCCAGAAAAGAAATTTAAAATAAAAAAACAACCAAAAATCCACTAGCCAAAAGTTAATTAAATCACCATGTCTTGATTTGACATTAAACTCTTGAACATATTTGCTAAGCATAGTTCTTAGGTATGGAATGTCCTGTGTAAAATTAGTTAAAATTTGTGAAAAAGGCAAAAATCTCTTCATTCAAAATGACTATAAGCCAAGTAGACAACTTTCATACTCTTTAATTTTGAAAATAGGTGTGTAAACCGAACATGCAGTACATTCAATTGGTTCTGCTCTGGCTTGTCTCCTGCCAGCGTAGCCTGCCACAGAAAGCACCCCCAGAGTGGACCCCCAAGAGCAAACTCAAGTCCTACCTCAGAAGGGAGGAGACCTGTACCAAGTCACACAATTGTGCACACAGTGCCCTTCCTCCCACAGACATTCTGGCAACTGTCACTTGGGTCCCCCAGTGCACAGAAGCCCAGCGTGGCTCAGCACCGACACACGGAAACTCCCGCGCTGGCTAGCTCACCCATCACTTCTTTTGACCAACTTTTGTGTTTCTGCTTTGTTTCCTTTATTGAACTACAAACTTTTTCCAGGTTCTGGATCTACTTCTGAGTCAGGCTGAGTACCCCACTGCTGGCTGCATGCTCGTCCTTAACATGGGTTTGAGTGACTACAAAGACACAGAATGCGGTGCCCAGAGGGGAGAATATATGCATAGAGACATCATGATGAGCTTCTGATATTTAGTGCAGGCCTCTGGCTTCAGTACTCCCACAGATACCAATGCACAGGCTGCTGGACACAGTGGACCAGTGTGGGGACAGGAGGCTGGGACCTGGGGATGGGTGGGAAGTAGGACCCTAGGGTAGTAGAGAGAGCAGTAAAAGTACCCAATAGGCTAGTGAACGTGGGTGTGAACATAGACCTTCAGACGACCTTTTTCCCTCTCCCTCCAGGAACTAAATCCCCAGACCACAGGGCCTTTTCTGAGGGTTGGGTTGCCTTGCCTCTCAATGGCCTGACCTGTAGGCCATCACACTTTCCATATAAGGGTTAATGGCTTCTGTCTCCACCAATTGAGCTGCGGGGTGAGGGTGAGGAACACCAACCAGCCATCGTCACAGCTGCCATAGGAGTCTGCTGGGGGAGGCGAGACCGGCAGGTCACTGTGGGCGCTCAGCAGTGTCCATCTATATAACCCCAGCAGTGGCAGCTCCAAGGCTTCTGGCCCTGGCTGCCCGGGGGGATTTGCCCCGGGGCAGCTATTCAGCCATCCGCCATGCTGAACAACTCCCGCATGAGGGGGGTGGCAAAGGGGTGTATGTCCTGGATGCGCAGCAGTCGCTGGGTATGCTGGGCGTTGATGCTGCGGAGCTCGGTGAGCATGGCCATGATCTTCAGGAACAGGAACCTGCAGAACAACCAGAGGAAAGCTGGGGGTGTGCCTTTGCCCTGGCCCCACCCCACCAACCCTGGGACGCCCCCTGACGTTGCACAAGTTTGTGTGTTTTCAACTCAAGACATCTCCAATCAGCAAAGAAACAAAATTCAGTTAAGTTCCTTAAACTTCTCTTTCAGCATGCGGACTAGAAGAGCAGAACAGCCTTCAGAGACTCAAGGGGCGGGGTGGGGGGGCCTATACTCCCCACTACCACCTCCTCCTCGGGACTTGAGTCCTCATACACAGCGATTTCAGTGGGAATCCCACGCTTTGCAGGTGCCCAGTGCATAGGTCAATTTGGGAATATCACCCCCTTGGCTAATGGTTGTGCGTCAGGAATGAATGAAGTAGTGTGGAGGCAGGAGCTGCCGTCAGCAATCCCTTCCTGGACCTTGCTTGGGATCTAGTGTCTCAGATGTACTTTGTGCCTCAGTTTTCCCATGATACCAAAGGACTGAGCAAATTAAGACTTGCCCCCCCGCCCCCACATCCCTGCATGCTGAGCCCAAAAGCCAGCTAGAGAAAGCCAACTAAAGACTTGAGGCTTCAAGTGGATACCCAGTGCTGGCCTTGGCCTTCACCCGGCATGGCCTGGATCTGTGGCACTTTACATCACAGGGACTGCTGAGTCCCAGTGAAGGGCTGGAAGCCCCTGTATGGCCAAGCCCTGAGCAGCCTTCCTCTGGGTAGTGACCAGGACGAACTTAGAGCTTCCTGTCCCCTTTTGCTTGTGTTTTTCCTGGAAGGCGGTTTGGTGGTGCTCAAGAGCGTGGGCTGTGGACCTGCCTGGGTCCACCTCCATTCCACTGGTCTGGCTGTGAGCCCTTAGGTTGTCACCCTGAACCTCAAGTCCCTTGCTGGTTGGTTGTGGCACCCACTTCATGGGGTGGTTCTGGCACTTCTCAGCTAATGGTAGCTGTTATAGATTTATTTGTTCTCATCATTATTGTTCTAATGTGATCTTTATTGTCATGATAGTAATTGCTGGTTATTGCTAGAATACCCTGTGGGAGCCTCAGGGGAGCAACTAACTCTTCCCACCCTGAGAGACTGGGCAGATGTGAGCTGCTCTCACATCAGGGAGCAGGTATCCTCAGGCCCCCTCAGGCTTCCCTGTTGTTGGGCAGGAGTACAGGTAGCCTCGGCAGGAATTTGCCAGGGGAGGTCACAGATCAAGGCCCCCAAAGCCCTGGTGACACAAGGGATTAAGATGCAGCACTATGGAGCTATCCTCAGCCACTGCAGCATGAGTTCGATCCCCGGCCAGGCTGCTGACCTACATGGCGCAGCAGACCTCTGCTGACTCGCCCGCTGCTCCCCTCAGCAGTGTATTTCAGTTGATCTGCCAGTTCTGCTCCCCACTCTTTCTCTGGTGAATCCTCTCACTCCCCACACCTCTGACCTGTACCCCAGTTCTTACATGCATAAATTAATAAATCTTAAAAAAAGAAGAAGAAGAAGAAGGCCCAAGGCCCTGGTAATCAGAGACTGCCCCAGGAATCACCAGGAATCACTCTGGTCTGCTCTCCCAAGAGACCCAGGACAGGTGGGAGCTCGGAGGGCAGGGCTGCCCAGAGCCCCTCCCCGCCGCACACATGTTGCTCACCTGTGGGCGGGCTGAGGCCGGTTGCACTCGATGTAGGCCTTTAGGGTGACGGCAAATCGCTCCTGCAGCTGGTCCACCATCTGGTACTGCACCACACCCGGGCGGTCTGGCAGGAAGAGGAAGGCTTGGTGTCAGCAAGGCCGCAACGGGCAAAGACCAGCTCGGCCCAGCCCAGAGTGGACAAATTGCCGGCTGGAGACACCAGGGCAGGGAAGTAAGGGGAGCACTAGGAGGACTGCGTGCCGCCCTGTCAACCCGAAGGGAAACCAGTAGAGTCCCCAGCCCTCCGTGCAGTGACCGGGGAGCAAGGCTGTCAGCTGGGACCTTCCCTGGGGAGGGGCTACTCCTCCTGCAGCTAAAGCCATGGGGGATCAGCAAGCCTGGGGAGGGTCAGAGAAGCCAAGCAGGACGGGTGGGGCCGTCACCTGGGGAGAAAAGGGAGATGGCCTGCATCAGCACGTACTCCTCCTTGTGCAGCTGCAGCTTCTTCAGCATGTAGTGGAACTTCAGCACCGGCTCTAGGAGAAGCTGCTGGAAGCCACCTGTGGGTGGGGATAGGCTGGAGTGGCAACTTCCAGGAAGCTGACCCGAGTCCTACATTTCCCTGCCGGAGGGACCCACACTCCCAGGACGGGGCACCTCCCCTTCCTCCATGGCTGTGTTCCCCTCCTTTTGCCAGGACAAGCCGGCACCTGCGGGGTCTTCCAAGCAGTAGGACAGCCGGCCACACTCCCAGGTCCCGGTCTCTGCGTTGAACACTGTGTTGAATCTGAGTTGGCACAGCTCAAAGGTGGCCCCCTTCAGCAGGGAGATCTGGTCCTCGATGGGCAGGTTCCTGGCAGCAGGGATAGGGAGAGGACGCCAGCTGCCTGGGGAGCACCCCAGGCTGGCACCAGCACCCAAACCCATAATCCAGAAATCAGGAGCAGGGAACGGAGGGATGAGTGCCTGCTCCCCAAGACTACTGCGGTTTCTCCCCGTTGCTTCCAGTCTCCCCCTCTGCCACCCAGCTGAGCCGATGATGCCCCCTGCCACCTTCCTCTGTGGACCTATGTCCTGGCTCCTGGGCTGGTGCCTCACACCTTCTGCCTCAGTTCCTCCACTTGGAATGATTGCCCCGTTAGCTTCCCTTGAGTAAATCCTGCCAGTCCTTTAGCCCAAGCTGCCTCTTCCCTCTTCTACGTCTTCCCAGAGCAGTCCTGCCAGTGAGTTTCGTGCGGCAGGACTATTCGCTTCCTGTGTCCGGTGCGTGTTTCTGCTGTTATGAATGCTCCTTGTCTCCAGGAGGCCTGCCTGCCTTGGCTCCCTCTCCCAGCAGCCTTGACCCGGGGCTGTGTCCTCTGATACTGGTGTCCTTCCCATTCTGAAGGGACTGTCCTCTCCCCACCTGAGAGGGGCCCCCACTTCCCACTGAAGCAGTCTCCGGACTGGGGGTCCAGGAGAGAGTGAGAGCTCGTGAATGGCTCTTGAGGACGCCCTCTGTGTGCCTGTGATCTTGGGAATTCAGCCCCTCGTTTTCCTCACACTCCCTCTTCTTTTAGATCCAGCCCTGAGCTACAGATGCCTCTTTCGTCTGTGACCCCCGGTTCCCAGGCCAGGCCTTGGCAGGCACTGGCTCTGAAGCCTGCACTCTGTGCTTCCAAACCCAGCCTCTCTGATTGTGACCTGTGCACACGCCTTACCTCGCAGACCTCGGAGTTGTAGCTGGAGAATGAAGGTGATACTAGCGCCTGCCTCCGGGGCTACTTGTGCATGAAACTGGAGGTGACGAGAGGCAGCAAGTGACCTCCCACCCTCTTGCTAAGTCGTGGGTCAGCTCAGGTCAGCGGGGATCTGCCTACGTGCCTCTCATCCTGCTCCCTGGACCCAATTTGCCAAAATCCGCCCCCCACTCCAGTCTGTTGCCACCCTCACCCCACTAAATGAGTCCAGTATGTCACCCACAAGCCACTGGGGAACCTGGAATAGAAACTGCCCTTCTGTCTCCCGATGAAATCAGGGCTTCTGTTGTCTGTGATTCAGCTCTAGGTGACCAACCCAGGAAAGATCCGCCCAGGGTCATCTCCAGCCCTGGAGGACCACATATGATGGAGGCGGGGCGGGGGCGGGGGCTTTGGCCACCAGCCGGCTTCTTTTTCCCAAACCTCAGTTACCCTGTGGTGTTGCCTCCACACCATGCTCTGGCGGTCCTCCTCGGGGCCTTCTCTGCCATCCTCTGGGTGACCAGTCACCAGAGACCCAGCATCTGCTCGTGCCTCCTACTCCCTCAGGACTCCCCCCTCCTTCCAACTTCTGCTTTGCTCTGGAAATGCCAATTTGTGCTTCCTGCCCCTTGTGGAGGAACAGCGGAACCTGCCCTCTGATCGTCCGCCACGTATGTGCTGCTTGCTCTCACATGTTTTATTTCTCATGCAGCCCTGCATTGTAGGCACTAGTGACTCCCTGCCGAGAAGGGGCTAGGTACCCTGGCAGGTTCACGATCCGTCACGAGCCCCACAGAGGGCTCTATTCCTGGCACTATCAGGTGTTCTGGGGGCAGAGAGAAAGGAGGCTCTTTGGCACAACATCCCAGATTCACAGGGATCTACCTCAGACCTGCTGGCCATGCCCAACTCCTTTCCACACCCCTCCACCCTGCATCCGTATTCCTACCTGAAGTGGGAGATGACTTTGGCAAAGTTGATGATGCCTTTGAACATGTAGGTTGACAGGTCTGCTATGTGAGGCAGCAGGGAAAAGATCTCTTTCCCGTTGCTGGCTGTTGGGGGTTTGTAATTCCAGACGCTGCCATCCTCCCCCTGCAGCTGCAGAGAGACCTTCACAGAGCACAGGTCTTCCTTGATCTGGTGCCACTTGGCAGCTTCCTCTCCTGATGGCGCCCAGAGAGACTCCGGATTCTCAGAGCTGCCGCTAAGCACCTCTGGCAGCTGGGACAAAAGCCAGAAGGAGGAGAGAAGAGGAGGCACAGCATGTATTCTCCACAGCAGGTTCCCACACAGGCCCCAAGCAACAGGAGCAGCCATAGCCACAGCCTGAGGGTCATGCATTGCACACACACCATGTACATATGCGTGCATGCGCGTGCGTGCGTGCGCGCACACACACACACACACACACACACACACACACACGGCATTTACAGCACTTGTTTTTCTTCTTGCTAGTCTCCTGTGAGTGGTGTGCTTTCCTGGATCTGTGAATAAACGCTCTCTCCCGTTAGCTTGGTCAGAGATGGGTTTACTCCCTGCCCCAGTGGAAGGTGAGGGGTCTTCACTGAGGGTGTGCCCCAAGCATCCCATACCATGGGCTATTAAAGATGAAAAGAACAGACTTCTGGGACTGCTGTGCTTGCCACTTCTCTGAGCTGGTTGGGTCACAGAGGGGGAGGAGGGCACAGGGCTTGGACACAGCTGAGGTTGCTGGGACTGCTAACCAGTTCCCCAATGTCACACGCCCCCAACAGGTCCTGATCCTGTCCTCACCAAGCCCTGAAAACCAGCACCCTGGCACTGCAGCTTTCAAAAGCGCTGCTCATCTCCCAGGCCCAGCTTCTGTCTGTGGGAGAAGAGCAGCGATTCTCAGGCCTGAGCTGTAGCAGAATCACCTGGGGGGGACGTGCTGAGCCCAGACTGCGGGGCCCACCCTCAATTTCTGATTTAGGAATTCTGGGATGACCTGAGAATTGGCATTTTAACAGATTCTCAGCTCATGCAGCTGTTGCTGGCCCAAGTTCCTTGAGAACCCCAGGAATGAGATTGGGGGTCTGAGGAGCTAGTGCAGGGGCTGAGCCAGCACCTGTCTCATACCCGGAAGTTCCTGAAATGGGAGAAGGTGGTGTCAAAGGTTTTCATCTGAGCATCCATCAGCTCCCTGATCATCGTCTGCTGTTCTTGGGTCAGACCCTTTGTTCCTGGGGGCTGCAAGTCACCCCGTTCTCTCTTCTTCCTCCTGATCAAGGCGCGCCTCTGCTCCACGGCTGCATCCGACATGATCACTGCGGGGATAGCAGGGCCGCTCAGGAGCCTGTGATGGACTCTTAGGCAGCCGTAGGGAAAGTGCTGGTGACAGGAAACCCCACCCCTTTCCAGGCCTCAGGGGGAAGCCTGGGTGAGGACAGCGGCATGGGGTGCCACCACGGCAAGTTTGCAGAACAACAGAAGAGTGAGGCTTCAGAATCCAAACAGCCTGGGTTTAAGCGATAGCTTTGCCGCTGACTACGGTCACCTTGTGGGGGTGGGGGGGCTTGCCTCTCTTGCCCTCCGTTTCCTTCCTTGTGATCTGGAGGGGTTCATAGTGCTCCCTGCACACTGCAGTTACTATGAGACATTTCATGGAAGCATCTGATACAGCGCCTGGCACTCAATAGTTGTTCAGTAAAAGGTAGCTCATGTTATTCTTCTCTGGTGGATTAGCTACCAGCCAAGACTCCTGAGAGTCCCTCAGGATTTAGCAAGAATTATCAACTCCAGTCACTTTCAATGTAGACTGGAGCCCAAAGACTTTTGATGGGTTTCTGGAGCAAATTTGTGGGGGTCTTTGGAGAGGACATCTGGCAATGGCCTCATTCACAGCTGTCTGCCTGCTTGCCAGGGATTTGTTCCCACGGCAGGGTCACGCTATGATTGATAAATATACAATGGAAGCTTCCAGTCTTGCCCCATACATTTCAATCTCAATAGTACCTGGGAGTATGACTAAGCAGAGCTCAACAGGTAGAACGAGAACGTCCTATGTCACCTGTCTGCAGACAGTTCCTCTGTAGGATGCCAGGTCCAAGGCAGCTGGTGGGAGCTAGCAGCTGAGATGTTGGGGGTCACATCACATCATGTTGTCTCCAGCCTCCCTCCCTCCAATTCAGTCCCCCAATTTGGCTATACCTCGATGAGGACAATTAATGAAGGGGACAAACAGAATCACGCAAGGGGCAACTGAGGGGTGGCAGGGCATGACTCTGGCCAGAGGTGCCCACCACCCCTCCCAAACCATATAGCAAGGATGCCCCCATCTCTCTTGTGCCTCTTGCTCGTCCTGGACTGGAGGCTGTAAGCTCACCTGGGCTGTAAGCTCTTTCTCCACGCACCTGCCTGTTGTACAGGGCCACAAGCTGACACAGGTGCACATGTGCGTTCACGTCCCCACGGCCCTTTCCTCATCCCCGGGGACGCCTGTGTCAGGCTCACAGTGCCCGTGACCCAGCCCACACCGCCCAGGCTTCCCGCGCTTACTCTCCTTCTTCATGCCGCTCTCTAGGCACTTCCGCAAACGGCAGGCCTGGCATTGCCGCCGGGTCTTCTGGGTGATTTCACACGTGCCTTTCCGGAAAGGGCACCTCAGCCGGACATTGCGTTTCATGGCCCTCCTGTGAGAGAACAAAGAGCAAATTATGTAATGGGGTGTGCATAGGACCTGCCTGGCTCCCTGGTCAGGGCCTCCAGTCCTTCCTCCCTCCCTCTCTGTTACCTCCCACAACAGGGGACACTAGGCACATCCTTATGGGCCCTGCCTTTGTCTCTGAGTCAGGTGGTGCCATAGGAAAGGTACAGGTGGGGCTCTTTAAGCTTCTGTCTTTGGGTCTTCCCTGAAGGCCCAGGAGTTGGCTGAAGGAGGGGGGTCAGGGGAGAAACCTTGCTCTAGAAGGCCTGTGGCCTCGGTCTATGAAGGGCCCAGGGGGCATGGCCTTCTCTAGCACCTTCCTTTGCCTCCCCTGCCAGTCTGGGTAAGAGGCCCTGATCCTACTGAGGGTCCACCCAGAACAGGTGAAGGGAGAAGGAACAAAGATTTACTAACTGGGCTGAGGACAAGATGCCGGGCCAGGCATTTGACAGTTTTGCAGATTTAGTTCTCACAACTCTACGAAATTCATCCTTGTTATCTGCCTAGTGCAGACGAGGAAACTGAGTCTGAGAAGATAATCACTTCTCCAGATAAATGGCAAGCTGAGTGTGAACCCAGGTATGCCTGACACCTGAATCCAAGTCCTTACCATTTCAACGGGCTGCCTCCCTCTGAGAGTCCCAGGACAGGGACTCTCCTTAGTAGAGGGGGTACAGCAGGGACCCCCACAACCCAAAGCAGTCTACACAGATGCTGTGGCAGATCCAGAAGGGGCGCCCGTGTCCGCCCTCTCCCCTGAGGGTGTAGGGGCGCCCCACCTGTACCTTTCCTATGGCCCCACCTACGTAGGGGCATAGGCCTAGTTCTTTGCTAGTGACTCATCCAAGAGTGGGCTTGGGGCCCTGGTTCTAGCCTGTGTGAGGGGAGGGGTCTCCTGGAAGGGCCTCCTTGCTCTTAGAAAAGGGTCTCCTTGTTCTGTTTCTTGGCACAATATTGTAGTGAGGTATCGTGCTGCCGCTCCCCTGCCCCCGTAACTGCGAGCAGCCTGATAGAGCTGTGGAGCAGGAAGAGAAAAAAGAAAGAACTAAGCTGCTGAGCTTACCCACCCTGAACTTTCAGGCGCCAGCTGAGTGAGCTAACCTGGGCTCCTCACTGCGGAACCACTCTCGGGGGGTCTGTTACTCCTAAACTGCCCATGTGTCTTGCCTGTTATAAGTCAGGCCACACAGACCTATGTCCCCCTCCTTCTTCAGCTCGGTTAGGCGAGCTCTCTGTCCAGGCTGGCCTTGCAGTTAGCTGAGACTTTCAGTGCTTAATTTTGGACCTCTGTGTCTGTTTCTTGATGAGACTGTTCTATCATATTCATTTATTTTACGGATTTCTTTCTTTAAATACTATTCCATAAGGTTGATTTGGACACTTGCATTTTTGGATCTTCAATCTCTTTCCTCCCTTACAACTGATTTTCTAATTTATTCAAGGATACATAGCAACACAAAGGTGTGTCTTAATGGAAGAGCACCTTTCCAGGTAGACAGATAATGGATTACTCTGAGATATAAATGGCTCTCCTGGGACTAACGAGGAGGACTATGGATGGGCCACCAGCCCAAACTGAACTGGGGAGAGAGGTCAAGCTGAGGCTCTGAAAAGATGCCCAGTGGAGTTCATGGCAGAACCCCAATTAGATATGAGTGGTGTGTCAGGGGCAGGTGGGTGAGATTTGACAGATGAATCTACCTGAAAAAGCCCTTGCAGCCTTCACATGTCATGACATTGAAGTGATAACCAGTGGCCTTGTCCCCACATACACGGCAGATTTGGGGACCCTCATCTCCCTCATCCACATTGATGACGGACTTTCCAGAAATGGTGTCTGCTTCTTTGCCGTGTGCAAGGTCAGCATGGTTCCAGCTTTCTCCAGGTCCCACCTCCAGGTTTACTTCTTCCAGGCCTCTTGGACTAGAATTGAGAAAACCACAGGGACTGAGAGGGCTGGACGGGGTCTCACTGTGCACGCTCGCAGCTGTTCTTTGGACCCAAGAGCCAACCCCTTGTGGAAGAAATGGGGGTGAGGGTTGGAGTTGTTAAGAGGAGGGGTGTAATCATGTCATTTTGTAGTCAACAATAGGGTCCTGGAGTTTATCATGTTTTCATGATAATGAGAACATGGGAGAGAGAAGGACAAACAGAAGAAATGAGGAGGAAAAGAAAAGCCTCCCCAGGCTGGATAACTGAAGTGATGTGGAGGCCACGGGCTGTTCAAAGTTCCAAGCAAAGAACAATCTTGTTCAAGAAGACTTCTGGGACTGGGAAGACTCCAGGGGCCTGACCTGTCAGGTAAATCGTGGCCTAAGCTCCCAGAGAGAGCTGGAACAGCAGAAAGGGGGTTTCCAGACAGGGAGAAAGATGTAGAAGTCAGTCTCATGAAGCAGGGAGGCAATGGCCGTGTTCCCATGAATCTGGGCGTAAGGGAATAACCAGAGACCTTGTGTCCACGACTGGGGCTCTACTCCAGGTGGCCACCCCAGACAATCTCACTGGACAGGGGGACTTAGATTCTACTTGGAATGGGCACTAAAGATGATGAGTAGAAATTAGGAGAAGTCCTACTCACTACTGCCAAGGCCCACCACACCATGGAGAATATTGTCTTTTCCAAAACCAAAATAAAATTTCTAGTAAAATTTCAGCACAGAAATTTGTTTCCAATAGCATGAAGGTTCAACCTGACAGTTTCACTTGTAAAGACAGATTAGAAATTAATCTGTATTTCCCAACCCCGAGCCTCCAGAACACTGTAAATAAAGTAAGTTGACTGAAAACTTCAACTGAGCAGGTCTGGGGCGTCTCCCCCTGATTTTTCAAATCACAGCCCTGACCTCCTCTAGGTTGCAGACAAAAGGTATTCTTTGGGTGTTCACAAAAAACTCAAGTCAAGAATTTGATTGAAAATGATGTTGGGTTGCTTGTGCTCCCAGCCAGTCACAGAAGCAGGTGCAATTCCTCCTCTCTAGAGAGCTCACTTTCCATCTAGGCACAAAGATAGGAAATTTTCAAGAAATATGAGCAAAAGCTCATGAATCATAAATCAAAAGACTAACGTGGTACCATGAGCAATAGCCAGCAGAAATGACGTACAGCAGAATTAGACATGCAAAGACCTCCTGACTCATCAAACATAGAATACATTTAAATAAAGACCAGATGAGTTTGAAGTCATACGCGCAAATGACCATAAAACTGATGAGGCAGATTTGCAAAATGAATAGAAAATTGACTATAAAATCTGAGCAAAAAATGGCTATATGAAGAGTAATAAATCTGCCTTGAGAGTTAGAAAAAGCAAAACACAACTGAAATATACAACATATAAATCAGAGGACGAATTATCACCGTGCAAATTTTCTAAGGTTATATGTTGTCGAGGGAGGAAAAAAGAATAAATAACTCAGAATTTAATATACTAGTATGCTTGTTAAATATCCCGGAGAACCCCTAAAAGTCTAGAAATAGAGTGCATAATTTAAAAAGGAAAAAGTGGAAGAAGGAAAAAAAATCCAACTACAGAGATTTAAAAAAAACTGAACAGTTCATACAAATACAAAACACAAGCTGATGGAAATAGCAAATATATTGATAATTCAATGTAAATATATTAAAAGTTCCCATTAACAGACACTGGTTCCAGCAAATGTTTTGGGTTATTTAAGGTTCAGGATTAGCATATTGGGAGGGGGCAGACTTTGTGTTGGACAACAAGGGATGTGACGGGCGCTAAAATGGTAACTGGCAACTGTTGAAACTCAGGATTCCAGATCCTTTGCGAAAGGTAACTCATTTGTTCGTCTTAGCAATTATCATATTTATCAAGCACTTGTTGAGCATAGTAGATACTCAATTGTGTACGGATCCTTTTGGGTTCTACAGAAGCTGGAAGTCATTCTCTTAGCAAACATATAAAGATCTTTAACTGTTTACAGACACGGAGTGTTCCAAAATCCAAGAACATCACAGGAAGAGACAATTTTATGAATGTACATTGGAGGAGAACAAACCTCTTTCGGCTTCCAGCATCACTCCGGAACCATTAGAAGAGCAGAATATGGGACTAGGAAGGGCATCTGCAGAGATCCTGCATATAAATTATAAATATCGGGCAGCAGAAGAGAGTGAGATGGGGTTCCTCACCAATCCATAAAAACGATGTTCCCCAGCAGGGACGTGAGCAGCACAGTATGTTCCACAAATCCCAGGAGAAGCTCAGTAGATAAGACACCAAGGCAATGAAAGAAATGTCTCCAAAGGAATGTAGGAGAGGTATTTACCTAAACGGCCTCTGATGAACACATCCCCCAACTCCTTCGCAAGGAGGTATTAGAACTAATACCAGACTCTCACTGCACAAAATTTGTATAACTTTTGTTCTACCTGACTTTGCTGTTAAATAAGCAGACTCAGGTCCATTCCATAGCCCATTTTCTCTTCGCCTAATGAAAGCCAAGTTAAAGAACCTATAAGATGAGCCTTAGTAAACCCCATCTCTTGGCACTCACACCCTCATGCAGTTCCCTCCCAGGATGAATCCAGGATGGTCTGGACATACTTTCACTAACAGAATGTGGGAAAGCGACACTGCCAGTTCTGGGTCCTAAGAAGACCTGGTAGCTTCTGTGTTGGCCTTTGGGGAACCCTAAATCACCATGTGAAAAAGTCTGATTACCCAGCTGGGGTGACCAACTGCAGGGACCCTGGCCAGTAAGGCCATGTGGAGAGGGGGAGCCCTTAAATGATACAAGAGGGCAGCTCAGGGCCCCAGGCTTCCAGCTGCCCCACAAAGCTCAAGAGGTGTGAGACCTCCTAACATCCCAGCACAGTTAAGTCTCCACTGGATGCCGTGTGGAGCAGAACTCTCAGAGTCCACACAAGGAATCATGAGAGAAAATAATAGGGCAACTGATTTAGTCCAGTAAGTTCTGGGGAGGTTTGTTACACAGCAACCCCTGGAGTTCTGTAAGAAGCAGACCTGAAGCGGGGAGTTACGCTCTTGCATCAGTCCTAAGGATGGTGCCCTGTGGGCAGGAAAATGACAATGAGTGCTCTGTGCCAGCACCATCTCTCTTTCATGTGAATTTAATAAGACCAATTAGATGTGCAGCTTTAATTGAAGCCAGCTGTGTTTAATCGGATGGTTGCACCTGCTCCTCCCCGTGCTTGGTAATGTGTGAAATCCAGCCAGCAGAGGGTTGAAATGACTATAGTCAGTGAAAGTAAAACAGTTCTTCAGTGAGTCTTTGCAAGAATAATTAATTGGAAGATCTGGGATTCAGGCTGAATACCAAAGAAAGGCTATGTTTTCCCCAAGGAAGCGCCATCCATAACAAATGAGGTAAAAATGTGGTATCTATGCATGATCGGGGCCTGCTGCTCTCAGCTCACGTCCGCTCTGGGTATGTGATGAGTTGACATCGCTTAGCTTGTAGGAGGCAGAGCCAGAATTTAAACCCAGGTCAGTCGGACTCTGTACCCTGCATCCCTAATTCAATGTGATGCTGCAGCCTTCACAAGATTTGTTTCTGAATAGGGAAACCATCCATGAATCTACCATCATTTATTTCTGTGCCAGCGTTTTCCAAACAGTTCATTGCAGCATGCCTCCATGTCGATTCTTTGATAGAGCTCCGTGTTCTTGGGCAGAAAGTGGTTTCCTGAGGTCTTCTGTTTTTGTCACCTCACTGCTGGGTCCTGCTGAAAGGACCAAGGCATGAGGCTGCCACATCAGACCTCTCCTGTCTCCCCTGCTGTTCCCCTCAGCAGTGTATTTCAGTGGATATGCCTGTTCTGCAACCCAGAACTCTGGCTTGGTCATGGGCACCTTTGAGAGCTTTGGGGTGGGGTACATATTTAGGATGTTTCCACACTGTGCTCCTTAGAAATTGCTGAAATTCTGTAAGCTCAGCCCTGTGTACACACAGCAGCAGCCTTGACACCTGTGCAGTAGATACAGATGCACCCGTACACAGAGACACAGACACACTGCATAAATGGTGACACACACACACGTGCATGGTTACTTCCTTAGCTAAGGGAGGAGATGTCCTCCGTGACTGACTCACCTAAACACATGGGAATGACTAAATGTGACCCAACAGGACTGGCTGTCCCCTGCCTGCTGGAAATCAAAGGACTTTGGTTTTTGCTCCCTGGGGCTGGAGGTGCAGTGGCCCCTGCCACTGACCTTGGACTCACTGAGTCTGCTCACTAACACCTCCAGTGCCCAGGATCCTCACAGATAAGACAGAACCTGCTGGGAGAGGCTGGCATGGCCTACAGTATGAAGAGGAACAGGAGGGCTCACTGTTATGGGGGGGCTGTTGTCACGGGCAAATCTGACAGTGTCAGGGCAGAATTCTGTCAGGGAAGCAGGCATTTCTCAGAGAGGAGGAAGGAAGCTCTTTATTTACGCCAGCGGGCTTTACACCGGCAGGCCCAAAAGAAGATCTTTCTCCCAAGTCTGAGCCCGGAGCAACTAATTTACAAAGTATTTATTGACTAAAGCAAGGGGTACAGTCATCTGAAAATGCATGAATCAGGGTGTGTGTGGCCTTGAGGGCGCTAATCAGCTGTTCCCTGAATCTTTCAGCCTACTGAAAGTTATTCCCAACTTCAGCTAATCAACAGGTCAGCCTCACATTTTCCACTTCAAAAGGGCAGAAGTGAAGGAAGAGGAGACCAAGAAGGGACTGAAGCGGCAGGAGCCACTCAGAAGGTGCAGCAGGGGAGCCCCCACACCCAGCAGTGGACAGCAGGCACGTCAGAGAAGACAAGTTAAACTTGGGGAGAGATTGGTAGGAGAGAGATGCAACCTAAGATGAGAATGGAGGGAAATTCTAAAGAAAACATGCATCAAGTTTCTGCTCTCGAGGGCACAGGGGTCCTCAGGAGTAAGAGAACAGCGGGAG